GCCATGAGGCACCGCCTTTTCATTCACTGCAATAACATTCCGCTCCTTGGAGGTGAAGTGAGCAGTGCAAACACGGTGTGTTTTACGTTACCTTTTCCCTCACCACCTTGGCCTGTTCGTACACCTCCTCCCTATTTCCCACATCACACACAAAGTAGTGGCATTCTGTCCCCGTCATGGAGATCTCCTCGCACGTCTCTCGAAGGCACTTCTCCGTACGGCCCCAAAGAATTATCTGAAAGAAAAGCAAAATCAGACCAGAGCATCCAGGAACCTGCTTGAGGATTAAAGGAATACTCAAGCTTTTCTCATCCTTATTGTTATCCACCTTGTCTGCGGTAATCGCAGACAAGGTTTCAACACACTTCCTGTTGAATCACAACCTATTAATGGAAGTTATTAAACTGTCAATAAGCAATTTATGATATGTGATTATACAACACATGTTGCATCAACAGGGTTTTCTGTTCGTTTCTTATTACATTGTGGAAATTGCACACAGTGCATAAGTGATCCGCAGACATAAGTTTGAGGAACACTAAAGTATCCCTTTAACGTAACCCAGAACATACAATAATCCCTGTGATCGCCAAAAATCATTACACAAACAAAGAGCTGAAGTTCCTTTGGGGAAAAGTTGATGATGTATTCCTGTATCTTTCTGCAGGAGAGCCAGTGAGAGTGATAGCAGACGGGGTCGGCCCGCGGGGGCTGCTCCACTCACTGGCTATTAGATGTGTCATTCAGGGAGGGGGTCAGAGAAAGGTAACAGAAGAATGAGTCCTCCTCCCTCGGCCCGTCCATCTTCATCTCTCTCACTCATACACAAACACACGTTCAAAGGCATTATGTGGCTCAGTCGCCTGATGAATCCATTCTTGTCTGCTTAATATCTCAGTGAGGGAGAAGAAAAAAAGAGAAAGACAGAAATCGAGAGGCAGAGAGAGTACTCGGATCAGTCGGAAACAGGTGTGGGCTCTCAGATGAACGGCAAGCCTCCTGACTTGTGCCTAATTAGTGTCACAATCAACACACACACACACACACACACACACACACAGCCAGCGTTCCATTATCAGTAAAAGTTCTGCAGAATTTCAGTGTTGCTGGGGTCAGACTGGGGCCATGGAGCTTCTTCCTCTGTGCTTTTACCTCAACACGACACCATTTACATACTCTACAACTTCCTTATGGGAATTCTACTTTGTAGATACATGCCCATGTTTGTCTCTCTCTCTCTCTCTCTCTCTCTCCTTTCACATCAATGCAAAAACTGATTTGATGAATCAGCTTCGTTGTAGTAGGAGTTCAGACATTTACTTTTGATGTATGAGTCAAACAGGAAATGATTGTGTATACATTAAGAATCTTTTCAGGGATCAAATCAAAGATTCAATGAGTCAAATATTTATTTATTTTATTTTTTTTTGTAAATGTGTTCCAGTTTATCAGTCTCAGGACAGCAGATACACTTATCACAGGAATGGCTTTCCTGACATGTGTATGCCTGCTTTGTTTGACTTACACACACACACACACACACACACACACACACACACACACACACACACACACACACACACACACACACACACACACACACACACACACACACACACACACACACACACACACACTCAGCTCTATTCCTGTGGCTTTCAGTTTGATTCTTTCTGCAGCCTGCACAATAACACTGATGACATCACCAGCCCTACTCCACTAAAACTGGCTGACCTACCAATGAACTTGGCTGTAATAACCAATCTGTAAGGTGCTTTTTGCCTACTACACCACCTGCATGTGATCCATTCACACACCCACACACACATACACAGATGTACACGCCTACACTCATGAGCATGATCTCCTCACGTATGCTCACCTTGGCTCACACGCATAGTAAACTAGAACAGTTATTCCTGTCACTCAATCTCATCGAAAACCAACCTCGCACCTAAATAATATCAGATATCTTTCTTTCAGGTTCCTTTAAGGTTCTCTTTGAACTTTTAAAGGATTGTTCTCAAGCTTGGGTTTTTGACTGTGCTGCCAAGAAAATCGTGGCCACGATGCGTTGAACTTTGGTGAACTTTTGGTTCACTGTAAGGTTTTTTTTTTGTGTGTGTGTGTATAGTGCAGGGAAGTTATGAGGGAGAAGGTTAAAAAGTCACAGATCATTTAAACGCAACAAAACAGTCAGTCTTGCCTGTCAGCACTCCATTGTGGGGCATTTGTAAAGGCAGAAAGGCTTAGGAAACACCTGTGTTTGTGTGCCCGCAGAGGAGAATCTGAGGAGGCACATGAAACACAACCGAGTCTGCATTCATTTGAATCCAAGTGCTATGACTAGAGTCTAGACACATGAACTAATCCCCTCACGTGGAGAAAGTATAGCTAGGTGCATATTTGTGGATATGTGGAGACATTTTCTGCATGCTTTCCCCCATACTATAAGGAACTGGTCAACAGGGGAAATGTATTATGAACCATTTACTCCAGTAGTTTCACAGTGTTGAACATTCACGGGTTATGCACTTATTCAGTGTCCTGGCACGTTCCCAAACCAAATATTACATGCATTATACAGCCAGGGCTGTGCCAGAATGGAGACAGATATGAACTGTATGCCAGATTAAAACGCCGGATTCATATCTCTTTCAGCTTTCTGTTCCCCCAAAGTTTGATCCCACTAAGAATTACCTGCAGAAGGCGCATGCGCTCTCTCCTCTAAAAAGCACCCTATTTGTAGCCTGTGAGCAGACTTTAGTACCTTTTTGGCTCCTTGTTTGGAGAATTCTTTGGCCAAGTGGCGTCCGATTCCTCTGCCTCCTCCGGTGATGAGCACCACATCCACGCCGAGATCTTTGCGCTTCTGCGGCATCAGCAAACGCGCCGCGGCTTTCAGGACGCACAGGAAGATTTGGATAGGGAAAAGCACCGCGCAGCCCAACACCTTCAGATCCATCATTCTGATCAAGAGCAATGTCCGACAGTATGGTTACGCGTGTTTGGAACTCGTCATCTGTCAGCGGGTCTCTCGCTCCTGGAGTCAATCTCAGGAAATCTCAATAAATAAATGAAAAATCAAACAGCCCTCCAGTATGGAGTTCACGCATGAGCCAGGTGTCCCAGTTGAGCTGAAACTCGTGTGAGTGAAGTGTTTCTCGGAGTCCGCGTTACGAGCCTGACGCACTGATAAGTGAGAGAAGTGGGACGGTGCTCTTATGTACCGCCTCAGCATCAGAGCGCACTTTGGCTGATGGAGTCACTCCATGGAGGACGCCTCATACTTTCAGAGGTCATCGTGACTTGTTTTTCCCCACAGCGATCATCTTGATTTTACACTTGGTTCTGGAAACTGAAAACACTCCACCAATGGAAAACCATGATGTGAAATCATTTATTTATTGGGTTGGGTTTTTTCCCCCTCCCCCTTGTTGGATCAGTAACTGAAACACGATTTACCTGCATTAACTCCTTCAAATTCAGATAAATGCACATTTAAATAAAAACATTTGAGATGTTGATGATTTAAAGGCTTTAGATTTTTTTTTTCGTCCTCATTTCAAACCTTTCAGTTCTTTAGACGTAGCTCCCCTAAGCAATATCTCTTGCTTTATTGTAAGCTGTAACCACATAGACACATAAATAAGAGCCATTTAAAAGTTCTTCCTGAAAGAGTTCCTCTACGTTCGTTAAAATAAGGGTTCTAATAGCCTACGGTACCATAGGTTCTGCATAGAACCTTCTTCATGTCAAGAACCATTTTTCATTGTATATGCTTCTTGAGTTGAGCTATATGGTTCTTTGGAGATTAAAGAAGTCGTTTATGTTTCATTATAGGTTCTTCAGACCAGTCTATTGGTTCTTCAAGGTATCATCCCTTAACAGGTTAAGGTGAACCCTATAAGGTTCTCTGTGGGACTGGAAAAGGTTATCCTTAAAACCTTGCTTTGGTTCCTTAAAGCACTAACTAAGGTTTTTTTGTTTGTTTGTTTGTTTTTTTAGAACTTATGATAGAATGGTTTCTTGCGGCGCTGCCGTGAATAATTATTTCTGTGTTTTTTGTGCAACTTAAAGGGGTTCTCCTATGGCATCAGACTCTTTTTGATTCTAATTGGAGCTTTTATTTTTAAGAGTGTAGAGTACGACTTCAGATGGGAAATCTGCTGTAGAGTTCTACATATAACCTTTAAGGGTTCCCCCAGAGATGCAGCTGAAGATGTATTATGTTTTCTATAATTGAGTTTTGTTTCTATGTGCTTGTGCTAAATAAGTAATGGTTCCATCTAGCACACTAAAGGCTCTTCAGACATTCATTCATTCATCATAAGTAACTGCTTTATCCAGTCCAGGGTCACTGTGGGTCTGGGGTTTACAATGGGAACAAATCCTGGATGGCTGTTTATCACATGACCCCATACAGAGAGAGAGAGAGAGAGAGAGAGAGAGAGAGAGTGAGAGTGAGAGAGAGAATGAATCATAGAAAGAGTCACACACTCATTCACACCTAGGGGTAATGGAGCATAGCAGTACTGGCATGTCTTTGGGAAGAGGGAGGAAACTCATGAGGACACATGAAGAATATGCACAGAAACTCCACCCAGAGCTATGAGGCAGCATCGCTATCCACTGCACTACAGTGCTACCCAGGGCTCTTCAGGTTCCACAAATATCTCTTAAATATCTTCTATGTAGAACAGTGGTTCTCAATGTGGGGTCCATAAAGCATAACCATCTATCTTCTATACCGCTTTATCCTTTTCAGGGTCATGGGGAACCTGGAGCCTATCCCAGGGAGCATCGGCCACAAGGCGGGGTACACCCTGGACAGGGTGCCAATCCATCGCAGGGCACAATCACATACACACTCACACAATACGGACACTTTAGACACGCCAATCAGCCTATCATGCACTGATCTTTGGACTGGGGGAGGAAACTAGAGTACCCAGAGGAAACCCCGCAGCATGGGGAGAACATGCAAACTCCACACACACGGCTCTGGCAGGGACTCGAACCCCAGACCCTGGATGTGTGAGGCGAATGTTCAAACCACTAAACCACCGTGTGCTCTAAAGCATAACCAGTGACTTTAAAAAAAATCTGTTATACAGCAGTAGTGGAAATGACAACCCACTCTTATAAAAGTTATATTTATTACCGAGTTCTTATCATGATTAACTGGTTTGACTGGTCCCATAAAATTAACGGGTTTAATCCAAACCTCAGTAACTCAAAAACAAGTCGCCTGTGAATAACAAATAATGTGAACTGATGTGAATAATGTGTTCTGTCAGTGGAAAGTTATAATTAAACTAACATTTGAATAGTTGGATTATGTTCATGAAATAAATCGGTGCCGAGGGGGTCTGTGGAATTTATTATTAGATCCAAGATACAGCATTATTTATATACAGTTAAAAGGATCCCTGGGTGTAAAATGTTTGAGAACTCCTGTTGTAGCAGAGATAGAGTCCCCTTTCCCAGGGAGAAAGTGTGTGTGTGTGTGTGTGTGTGTGTGTGTGTTATTCATTAAATTTTTTACAATGTTAGACTATTGTGTAGAAAACTGTATGAGAGACAATAGCATGGTGGTTTTACTACACACTTAAAAGGTTAAATCTATAATTTTTTCGAATATAGGGAAACCTGTAAAGGTTCTTTGTAAACCCCTACAACACGGTGTCTTCCTTATTCACACGCTTTATCTATTAAATGATACGGCGAACCCCCCTTTTTAATAAGAGTACAATCAACTTCTCTAAGACGTACCAGAGCGGACCAAACTTGTCATTTGTGTGTCTAGAAGTCTCTACTGCCATCTACAGGTCAGATCTTGCAGGTGACACTGATGTCAAGTCCATTTGATAATGGTCTAGATGGCAAGCGTGTGGTAATGATGCACTTTCATACACTGTAGCTCACATGCACAGTTTTTCATTCAGGAGCAAGACCATGGCTCAGACAGTCTGTATTAAGTCTTTTAGGTGAACAGAAGATGTCCAGGAGAGGAAAGATGCAAGTGTTGTCTGTGTTTAATCATGTAAACTCCAGGATCAGTGACAGCAGCAGCATGGCGAGTGTGTGTCCAGGTACAAGTCCATTCGAGTCAGCAACTACAGGCCAGAACACAGTCATGAAGAGATAACACTGTTTAAGCACTGTGTTCGATCCCACAATACCATCTAATGCAATTGTATCCAGTATTGCTCAAATATTAGGTTCATAGCTTCATCACACACCTTACCATTTAAGTGTAGTGTCTCCTTCTTTATTCTTGGATTCTCTATTTAAACAACAAACAAAACAAAAAAACAAAGTGTGAAACACAATTCTGAGTGGAGCATTATAGGTGTTGACATATAATAATTCATTTTTTAATATTCAAAGCCAAATACACAAGGCATACACAAAGCACAGTATGCGCAATGTGTCTTAGTTATGTATCAATGTACTAGAACTAGATGATGAGTGTATTTGTTATTCACTGAGAATATAAGGTGTGTGTTTTGGTAATGATAAATTGGTGTGTTTGATTCTGCCTGAACAGTATGGGAGTGTTTGTGTTCGTGTGTGTGCATGAGTGAGTGAGTATGTATGTCTTATACTAACCATACACTATGAGGCGTGTGTGTGTGTTGATAGAACCGAGTGGATTCTCAGCAGTGCAGCGGTACATGGAGCCATTGAGCTCTGCAGGTACTCTCTCAAGAACCAGAACCTTGCCTTCCCTCTCATCACTGCCGTCCAGCAGTAGCCCACCAACACGTTTCCATGTGAACAGGGGCTCTGGAAATACCTCATTCTGTACCATATGCAAACAGAAATATACATCATACGACAAGTTTAGGTTCATAAGTGCTAATTATGTACTAGCAGCCACCCATTAGTGGATTTTACAGATAAAAAGTTTTTAAAATTGATACTGAATGAAAACATAACACATAAAATAATATATTGTTGAACAAAATTAGCCAGTGATGGTTTTTTATTTCGCCTCTGTAGGCCGTTCTAATACTGTTTATGACAGCGGACCCTTCTCAGCCGCTCAGTGTTGATTTTTGCAGATAACCGATAATTCCAGCAATCACTGCAGATTAGTCTGCAAATCCAGTCAATCTGTCGACCTCTACAAATGAATGCATGACAAACATACCACATATTCAGGCTAAAACTAGCCCTAATGTAAACAATCGTATTTAAAATTTAATGACATTTGGAATCTGAGCCAAAAACATTTGAGCCCATCACATCAGTCCCAATTAACAGCTAACACACTTTTGTATATTCTAGCTTTATCATAATTTCATACTTTATTGATTATTTATTTATTTATTTATTTTGCTCCAGGCTAGTTTTTGAGCTTAGCTTTTGTGTTCGATGTTTCATACATTTGCAGTAAAATGACATATCAAGTTGACGTATCAAAATGTCAAGGTTTTTTGATTTATGTTGCAGCTCTTGCATTCCACTGGCACACCTAGCCTGATATTTACAACTTTTATGTTTATTTATTTACTTATCATGTCATTTAGAATATGAGCCAAAAAACATCCTAACCTATCGCATCAGACCCTGTAAACAGCTAAAATACATTTATATATTCCAGCATTATCCTAGTCTCATACTTTATCCTAGTCTCTCTTTTTTTTTTGCTCCATGGTATACATTAAAAAAAACAGTTACACTAGGATAAAGCTGGAATGTACAAAGGTATATTAGCTGTTAACAGGGACTTATGCGATGGGTTTAGAAGGGTTTTTTTTTTTTTTTTTTTTTTTTACTCAGATTCCAAATAACATTAAAACCCCAATTTATGTTTACAACCTTTCTGTAAAATCATTTTTTTTAATACCAAGATTTTTGTGCTAGTGGAATGCAAGGTTGCAACATACTTGAACACTTGAATATGAAAGAAACTTGACTCTGGATTTGTCATTTTACTGCAAATGTATTGAAAAATATAACTAAAAACAGAGTACAAAATCTACCATCACTCTGTATTTATATAAAGTTCAGAGATGAAACAAGGGTTGTAACCTAAATCATGGTTTTAATGGCTTTTGGAATCAGAGCCAAAAATGGTCTGAATGCAGGCATTTCACATTTTCAATTTCAGCTTTGAGCTGAGGTGAAAGCTCTGCACTGAAACACAATCATGTCAAGGCTGAGTTGTGGCTGTGTTTTTGTGTTCAGAGTTCATTACGATCATTCCATGGCTGTTTGTGGGTTAGATGAAGTGGTAAATATGTTCCAGTTCTCGTTTGCTATCAGGAAGCCCTCATGTTTACATTTAAAAAATACTATAATGAGCAGTAAACAGTAATAAATGAAACAATGTTTGTGACGACCTTTTGCTTTAGAAAAAAAATTAGCAGTCTCAGGTACAATTTGTGCAGTTTTACAGTATAAGGAACTTAGCTGGTAAGTTTTATTGAGCATCTTACAGACCAGACAGTTCTTCTGGAGACTTTGACTGTCAGCAACAACCAAGCAACCTTCATTATGTTTTTTTCTTACGTATGTTATTTGTCTTATGTAATATGCTGCTTTCTTTACCGACATACAAATCTAATATTTGGAACTGTTTTTGTTTTTTCTTGTTAACGTGGAAATCCATCCCTCCATTTTCTGTACCACTTATCCTATACAGGGTCACAGGGGAGCCTGGAGCCTATCCCCGGGAACTCAAGGCATGAGGACTCCCAGGACGGTGTGCCAACCCATCACAGGGCACAATCACAATCACACACACACTCACACACTACAGACATTTGGAAAGCCGCTCAGCCTACTATGGAAACCGGAGTACCCGGAGGAAACCCACTAAGCACAGGGTGAGCATTCAAACTCCACACACACAGGGTAGAGGCGAGAATCGACCCCCAACCCGTACTAGAGGCGAGAATCGAACGCCCAACCCATGCTAACCACTAAGCCACTGTGCCCCCACCCCCCTTAATGTAGAATAATAAAAAAAATCTATAACAATGTTTGTGCTAAGTACTATGATTTAAAAAAAAATACGGTTCCTTAGATTTTTTTCACAGTACAGTATATATCCAAAATTGTTGTTTGCTAGTTACTAAGATACTACAGTTACAGAACAGTTACTACTTACATTACAAAGGAAAACTTCTCATTGTCAGTTGTAGATATGAAGAAAAGGGAAAACACATAAATTATCAGTAATGATCATTGAATTATTTCAGGAAACAGCATTGCTGCTGGAAGTTGCATTGGGTTTGGTCTCTTTAAACTGTTTTACGTGGAACTTGTATTAATGTTCACATTTCTGCTGAAAGATTGACTTTTCCATCATATACTATAATTGAAGGACATGTCTTATGATCTTACCCCCTTTATTCCCACTTCGAATCCCTCCACAGTGATGCGCACAGTGTCTCCCACTTTTACTCTGCTGGGAGTCATGGAGAGTTTTGGTCCCTTTGGAGCAGCTTAATATAAAGCAAAAAGTGACAACATCCTGGTTGGATATACTCATACGTACAAGTCAATACAATTTCTCTTCATACCGAGTTACCTTTTTACAATTTCAAAAAAGGTGATATTAAATTAAACTAAATATAACACTAACATTTCAGAAATGGGCTAAAAAATAAAAAGATTTGTAAAGAGACTAACAGATTTCATAGTGCCAGCCTTTTATAAAGCTACTCATGTGAGGTCATGGTTGCAGTCACAAGGTAATGGCTTTGCTATTAGTTCTTGGAAACAAGCACACACGAAAGCGCCACTAGTGCTGGAAGAAATCCGCACTGTGATACAGTATGTGAACTTTTGCAATCGATGGTCTTTTAATTTTGGTTAGTGTGACTTCATACTTACAGAGCGTGACTTCGGCCTGCATGGGCATGGAGAGAGCTGGGTGCTTGACCTCGCAGCTAAACAGTGCCTCATTGTCGAGCTGTGGGTTCAGGTGCCAGGTGAGCATAGCCTGTACCTGCATGGTGCCGTCGATGAGCTCGGTCCGTGTGTGGTTGAAGTAGTAGAGCGGGCTGGAGCTGAGAACCCAGCGTGGAAACTCTCTGCTCACCACCGTCTCTGGGA